TGAGAATGACGGCGTGCGGATCTGACTGGAAAAAATGGACTGTTTGTTGGAGAAAACATCAACATCAAACAGAACATCGGTACTCGACACTAGCTAAAGCCGCCATGGACAAGCGATTTGTCAGCTTTTTGAAATGAAAAGATTCTTTTTGTTTATTGCAAATTTAGCGGCATCTATTGTAGAGAACGTTTCGACACAGGCTGAAGAGCAGCCGCTCTGCAAAACTTATACCCGGCGGAGTGAATTGTTCCGGACAAATCATTTTTGACGTGTCGACAAGGTTTCAGACGAGATAAAGCCACACAATAAAAAAACAAGAAATTCCGCAGCAATCGCTCATAGTTTTAACTTTCTTTTATCGTAAATCTTTTTTATTACAGTTCTTGCAATCGCCTGCAACGTGTTCTATTAGAGAACAAAGTAATTTTACAAATCTGGTAATCCAGGGGTAATCTGTTCGTTATGCTTCTATTTTGACGAGCTGTCAATTTACAAATGAACCGAACCGTGAAATATCAAGGGGCGTTTTCCAGAATCGTGGGGTTTGCGGGCAAGCGTTTCCTCTTCTCCCCTCCCCCTCCCCCTCCCCCTTCAACCTTTTTTTTGCTTCCGCTCTAACTTTCGCGCAATAACTCGATTGGAAACGCTTGCTACGCAGGCTAATCCAGCTGAGATAGCTGACTTTTACTCAGCTATCTCAGCTGGATACTGAGGGGTTTTTTTGGTTGCTAAGACCGTGCAGCTCGTTAGTGTCATGCAATTCCCAGAATTAATAAAGAGAGGAAAATGAATGGAGAGGGAAGAAAAGAAGCAAAATCCAAAACCCGGGGCAAAGCTTAGCGGCCAATCAACAAATTATCTTAAACGCGAACGGTCCCCTGGGTAATGACACGCGATAAGGCATAATTATGTTCTTTTGTTGACAACCCGCGTTCTTTTATTTTCGTAGTTATTTGGAAGATAATAGCTATGTTGACAATTGGAATTGCGTACTATCCCCTCTTTGCCTGCATGGAGACCGACTACAAGGTTACTGGATTTACCATCGGTTTCTTGTACTCCGCTTTCTGGTTAGTAAATGTTACAAGTGTTATCTGCTGGGAGAATGACCTTTAAAGTCCACATTTCTAGAGTTGATAATAGTAGTTATACAGGGATGAAGATAAGCCTCGTTGGTGCCTTCCCTTGCCTTCCGTATGCCTTCCCTTAATTGATATGCATAAGCCTATGACGTCACCTCGGAAAGAAGTGTCTTCCTGCATACTAATTTGGATTAGGTTTACTAATGAGCGTCACTCTACTACAATAGGAACAATAGGCTTGACTAGACTTGCCCGGGCTCTTTTAACCCTGATTGGATAGTAAACAATCTATTATGTGCTCAACATAAAAGCGCGCTCTCCGTTCAGCATATTACTATTGCAATCGCTTTGCTAACGAAAAAGTCTTATTATCACCAATATTACTCCAAACATGCAAGTCGAATCGAGCGCTACACCGCTTCTGACAGTAGATGAAGTGGAAAACGTCCAACGTCAACGGGTAGCTAGCCTTATCGGTCATGTGTTCCAACTGACTTATGCGGCTACGGTTGACAAACTCATCCAAGAACAAAAGCTGAATCGCTGCCACGGTTGTGCTATTCAACACCCAAGTCAAAACCAACATTCTTGCCTGGTTATGGATAATGATGACGCATGGATGTATTACCATGATGAAGTGGTGGAACAAGTTGACCTCAATGTTATCTTAAAAACGGCTGAAAGTGTGTGCAGTGCTCTTGGTTTCAAACTTGGCAAAACGTGGGAAGCGTACGTGACCGAATTACCAAAGCTGCCTTGGACTAACATCTATCTCACTTTCTTGGAACTCGAAGATTACGGTGAGTTAGAAGATCGAATTCTGTATGCTATTTACTACGGACCCTGTGGACTGAAGTGCAAAGATCCCAGTGCTGTGGAAATTGACAGCCAAGTTGAAGTGCAATGCCCTGAGAGAGTTGTGAGGAAAGATGAACAACCAATGGACCTTGACTTGATAATTAATGACATTCAAAATAAGCTTTGTTTCTAAAAGTAATAAAATTTGTTTATATCTAAATTGTGAGTCAGTGTGTGTTTGTCTCTGTCTTTGTCAAGATGGGGCTTTCTCTGTCTTTGCTTCGAGTCGACTTTTCTCTGTATCGCGCACAAGCCAAAACATTGAAAGTGTCTTCAAGTGAAATGGAAATGCTTCAACAAAAACTTAAAGATATGCCGGGTTCGAGTCTGGAAAAGTTGAAAAAACTCCACTCTGAGGTCTTTTCAAAAGTAAACTGGGGACGATTGGTGGTATTTTTGAACTTCGCGGATCAGCTAGAACTAACCGAGGAGGAATGGGAACTATTATTTAATTTTCTCGTGCCCACTCATACCCAGATTCGAGAGTAGCTATATAAGTAAACACGAAGAAAAAAGAAATCATTCAGCTTTGAACCTTCATAGCAATCACTAGTAATGGGTTGCTGGCCATCTTCACCCTCTCTGGTATTAGAGCGCATTTTCAACCGCATTCGTTGCGTATTAGCCTGTTGCGGGGGTCAAGTTATTGTACAAAATTCCGAGTTCTGTGATGGAGAAAACACTGACCAGCATTTATCTCGACCCAAGTCAACCCGCAAGTTTCGGTGGTTTAGATGCTGTTTACAGAGCAGTCAAAGAGAAAGGAAAGAACAAGATATCGCGTAAACAAGTTCAAGATTGGTTGAGTCAGCAAGATGTTTATACTCTTCACAAGCCCGCGCGTAGACATTACAAAAGAAGTCGAGTCATCGTTCCCGGTATTGATGCACAATTTCAAGCAGATCTGGTCGACGTTCAAAATCTGAGCCGATACAACAAGGGATATAAATACCTACTGACGTGTATAGATATCTTCAGCAAGTACGCTTTTGTGTTACCTTTGAAGACAAAACAAGGTCAAGAACTGGTCCAACCTTTCAAAAGATCCTTTCTACTGGTCGCAAACCTACTAAACTGCAGACGGATCAAGGAACAGAGTTTCTAAATCGCGTGTTCCAGAAATTGCTGCGTGACAACAGCATTGACTTTTTTACTGTTAACTCTGGGCTCAAAGCCTCAGTGGTTGAGCGTTTTAACCGAACATTTAAGAATGAGATGTACAAATATTTCACGGCCAAAAACACTCTCACCTATATCAATGTATTACCCCAGTTAGTATATTCTTACAATAACACCTACCACCGAAGTATTAAAATGAAACCAAGTCAGGTAACTAAAAAGAACGAAGCTCAAGTGTGGGATACTTTGTATGGGGATGATGTTCAAAAGCCTGTGCGATATAAATTTCAAGTGGGAGATCGCGTGAGGATCAGCAAAGTAAAGAGAACGTTTGAAAAATCGTACTTACCTAATTTCACGGAAGAAATTTTTACTGTTTACAATCGAATGGCTCGTCAAGTCCCCGTTTATAAACTAAAAGATGATGCAGGTGAAATCTTAGATGGCACATTTTATGAGCTTGAATTGCAGAAAATTATGAAGAATGATGATGTGTACCGCGTTGAAAAGATTTTGCGGAAGAGAAAGCGTAAAGGAATAGTTGAATACTTTGTAAAATGGAAAGGGTACCCAGACAAGTTTAATAGCTGGATAGCAGAAAGTAATATCTCAAAGTTGTAACATTTTGTGTGAAGCCAATAAAAGGGTTATTTTAACTGAAAACAATTGCTGTTGTGTGGTTTCTAATAAATTAAGAATACCCAGATTAAAAAGTTCATTTGAACACACGAAACGATGGAGGTAACACAGTTTTATCTGCACCTCCCTAGCAATAGCAGCCTCGATAAATTTCCTCATAACACATTAACAGAGTACCGAGTTAGTTTACCACAAACCCTAAACCTTACAGGCGAATGGGAAGTGGCTTTGACCGAGATCCATTATCCGCATAGCTGGAATAATATTCAACGGTTTCGATTTTACGTTCGAAATGAAAAACTCCACGGTGTTTGGGACTCCCTGGAGATGCTTTCGGGTCATTATTCTTCCATTGAAGATATCTTATCAAAGATGAAAGAGTTAGTGGATAATGAAAATCGGTATACAGATGATGTACGGTTTTCATACGATAATCTCAGCAGAAAGGTTACGGTTCATTTGAAAAACAACGCAGAAGTCTCGTTAAATGATATGGCCTATATGCTGGGGTTCACTCCCGAACAAACTATTTCAAAGACCACCACGGGCGACAGACAAGTGGATTTGGAATACGGTTTTCACGATCTTTTCGTTTACTGTGATCTTATTCAGTCACAATATGTTGGTGATGCACTGGTCCCTTTGCTTCGAATTGTTCCTGTAGAAGGAGAGGTCGGTCAGCGAGTCAGTAAATCGTTTGTGCGCCCTCAATATTTACCTGTCAGCAGAAAGCAATTTGAAACCATCGAAGTCAATATAAAGCGGGACACAGGGGAATCTGTGCCATTTGAGTTTGGAAGAGTGTTGTTAACACTTCATTTTCGTCAGAGTCAACCTCAGTACTTTTAAAAATGAAAAAACTCCACGCCCCAAATCATAAGTTTTACGAACAGTACTATGTAGATCAAGCCAAGCAAAAAGGTGGAAATTTACCCGCATTTCACGGAGCTCGATTTCAGCGAGGTTATGGCTTAGGATCCATATTTAAAGGTCTGTTCCGCTGGGCGATACCTCACCTGCAACAAGGTGCTAAGGTGATTGGAAAAAAAGCTTTACAAACGGGTGTCAATGTTGCCCAAGATGTGCTTGGCGGAGATAACATTAAAACAGCAATCAGCAAACAGGCTAAACAAGCTATAGGTAACATGACGTCCCAGAAGTCACAGCAAGGACAGTCAGGTGCAGGCAAAAAAGCTATAAAAAGGAAAGCGCAAGGCTCAACAATCAGTTCGCCTCCAGGAAAGAAAGCAAAAACATCTCCACAGCAGAAGAAATTGAAAACCATTTTTGATAAAGAATAGAATGGCCTTCGTTCATCACGAGTCTCGCGAGTGTACTAAATCAGAGCTGGATCTTTTTACTATTCCTGCTACACAAACCTCTATTCACAAAGGGCAATGGATTGAATATCATCCTCTCAGCAACATCACGGACACTGGTCCTATTGAATTTAACGTATCTGGAACCGGAGAAGAATATTTAGATTTAGCGCGGACACAACTTTATGTGAAAGCTAAGATCACGAAAGCAAACGGAACCGCGTTAGATGCCGATACACAAGTGGGTCCCGTGAACCTGTTTCTACATTCCCTGTTTTCACAAGTAGACGTTTCGTTGAATGAGCGATTGATCTCTCCATCCACTAATACTTACCCTTATCGCGCCATGCTCGAGTCTTTGCTGAACTACGGAGAAGAAGCTAAAACAAGTCAACTTTCTATGGCCATGTTTTACAAAGATACTGCTGGAAAGATGAATGTAGTGAACCCCTTGGCTGCAGAAGATGAAGCAAACCTTGGATTAAAGGCTCGCTATGAGTTTACCAAAGAGAGTCATACGGTGGATATGATGGGACCCATTCACAGTGATATATTCTTTCAAGATCGGTTGATGCTCAATGGAGTGAATTTAAGAATCAAACTGAACCGAGCCAAGAATGTGTTTTGTCTTGTGTCCTCAGCAGCCGCAGCTAATTTCAAAGTGGTTATCACAGAAGCCATCTTGTTTGTACGCAGAGTCAAGGTTGCCTCCTCTATCATTCTAGGCCATGCAGCTGGGCTAAAACACTCCAGCGCCAAGTACCCCATTCGCAGAATCGACTGTAAAGTACTCTCTATTCCAAGAGGATTTAGCGGTTTTAACCCTGACAACATCTTTTTGGGTCAAATTCCCAAGCGCATAGTATTGGGATTAGTGGACACAGAGGCTTACAATGGGAGTTACCGTACCAACCCCTTCAACTTCAATCACCACAATTTAACTTAAGGGGGTGTGTACGTGGACGGAGAACAAATCCCCCGAAAACCTTTGTTCCTGAAGTTTGACGCCGCTGATGGTCAAAATGTGATAGCCGGCTATCAAAGTCTTTTCTCTGGTACTGGAAAGCTTTCCCAGGATACGGGCAATCAGATAAATAGAAGTGATTATGGCTCTGGTTACACCTTATTCGCTTTTGCTTTGACCCCAGATCACTGCCCAGGAGATCATTTTGAGCTTATAAAACAAGGAAATCTACGCTTGGAGCTTCATTTCTCGGAAGCACTCGCCAACACTGTTAATCTTATCGTCTACGCTGAATTTCAAAACGTGATTGAGGTCGACGCAAACAGAAACGTTCTCTACGACTACACAAACTAGAAATGGACACCATTCAACTGATCCTTATTTTGAGAAAGGATAAATTTACACGAGGTGTGTTTCAAGGCGTGTATCCCTCAGACAAGCTGCCTGCAAGTGTTTCGCAATATCCAGCCCTATACATTGCCAATGTGGATACGAGTGACAAGCCAGGTTCGCATTGGGTGGCGTTTTATTTCACCAAGGGGCAAGAGGGAGAATTTTTCGATTCTTACGGAGCACCTCCCAGCAAATATTCGGGAACATTTACTACCTTTTTAAACAACAATTCTAACCAGTGGATTTTTAATACTGTGACATTACAGAGCATCTATTCCAAAGTCTGCGGACATTACTGTTTGTATTTTGCTTTATATCGCAGTCGGCAAATAAGTATGAGTACAATTGTGCATCGTTTTTCTAATAACACACGTAAAAATGATAGTCTTGTCAAGCGATTTATTGAAAAACATTTTCCTATAAGTCTTACGAAATATCGCACTGATGTAAACAAGCAAAGAGCACAAGCACAGCACAAAGTTCAATAAATAAACACCTTGTAATTTCTTTTCAACATCTTTTATTGAGTGAACAAAATAAAGAGATGATTTACAATGATAATAATAATGTCTCTTGTGGTGATTTTATAACCGTAACCAGCGCACAGCCTCAGGGCGTGGACTCGCATATCTTCGCCGCTGTTTTTTCACTGGGGATACCGTCACAGGTGGGCTAGGTAGCCAACGGGAAGGACTGTTAGGGGTTTCGTCTCTCACCCTTGCTTTAAATTCTCGAACAGCACTTTGCCTCTGTGGATTACGCACTAGATTTTCCGGGACATTCATTCGGGCCAGACCCCTCGCAAACACCGACCATCCTACTGGTTCAAATCCTTTGCGGTGGCGCAATGTGTCGTTGACTAGGTCCACCAGATGAGAACCTGGAATGGGTTTGGTTTCATACATAAGCTCTCCTTTATCATTCCAATGCAATACATCTTGATGCTCTTTAATTTTATCCAACAATTGTCTAGCCCCGGCTTTGTAAATTTTGGGTACACTTCTCATGACCTCTGCCTCTACGGCTGATGAAGTGAATTTTTCCGGGACAGGTTCTTCCGAAGGTTGTTCATTTTCTTCTGGTTTAGGTGTTTCTACTGCTTTGGGGGTTGATATTTTCACCTGAAGAGGTTGACCTTTTCGCTGATCGTAATAAGTCAAGTACCGCTGCAACACTTGATTGTAAAGCCTAGCTTTTTGTTCATCATCAAGTTCTTTACTGGATAAAATATCGGTCATTTCACTATCCAAGTTTCTCAGAGTTTGTGTGACGGGTGGGGTTAAAATCTGCTGGCGCTGCTGTAATCTTTCCAAGGTGTTCTCGGGCACGAGAACCATACGCTTTGTGTGATTCATTTTAGGTAAGAATCGAACTCAACACACGGAGAACGGGAGGTAGCAAAACACTTAAAAAATTTCCTCCGTGTTGTACCAACAATTTCTTTTTCTTATCGAGTGGTGTACTTTTTTCGGCTAAAGCGATCAAAGATTTCTTGTGAGGTAAAAGTTTTTTCTTCGCTGGCTTACTGACAGGCACTGTTCCTTTAAGCACGTTTAAAACACACTCACAAATGGTTCTTACTAAAGCGTCGTCTGCCACCTTCAAAATGGCTTTACGCTGAGCTGGTGTACACTTGACAAGCAGTTTCAGAAAATCGTGGTTCTTTCTAAGTCGCTGTGCCATCCTCAACTGAAGAAATGTGATGTGGTTCACGTTTTTTATACTTTTCTGACGTAAGCGTACTGAGTCTCCCCGGGGAAAATATTCGTACGCAGCCGGAAGTCGGTAGGTGTTTCCGGTTTAAGATCACAAAATAGATATCCATAGGGCCTTTTTGTTGCATCCTCAAACGCTTCTTGCATGTATTTGACATGACCGGGAAACATTTGTCTTGCTAAATGATTGACTTGACTGCTATCACGCGGGCTTTTGAACACTACTAAGTAATGAGAATTCAAACTCATATCTCTCAGTTCTTTTCCACGATGAAAAATGTTTTGGAGAATAAAGATCACGCTGAGATTGCGATGGTGACAGCCTTTGGTAAACAAATTAGTCATTCGCTGATCATTGCTAAGCTCGTGCATTAAGTCATCAATGACGACTAAATTCAGAATAGAGGGATTAATTAGGGTTTCCAGATCACCAGGCACTCCTTCAACAAACATAATGTTCGGAATAGTTTTAAGCATCTCATCGTAGGCTGGTTGATACATGCTATAACACCAGATGATATTTTCCGGGGCACCATCAATCATGTCTTCTCCTGCTTCTAGTAAACGTTTTACAAACTGACTTTTCCCACAACATGTTGAGCCGGCCACAAGCGCGGGGAAAGGATGTTTCCATCTCGGGTCCATGATCACAACTGATTAACTGATTTGTGCGTACTCTCATTTATAGAAAAAAAAAAAAATTGTTTTGGGTTCACCCTCCTTGTCATACACACGAATCGCATTGGTATTTTGTAATTTTGCAAATTGAAGCCAATATTTTCGTTCTATGTCCGATAACTCGTGGACTTGAGTTAAATGATATGCTAATCGAACTAAGAATTTAGAACGACATCCCGGTATGGGGCAGTGTTTACATTTTAGTTTCTTCATGCTAACAGGACGAATGTTAGATACCAACTGAGTAAAACTATTTGCGACACGAAATTTATTGTTGATTTTCAAGGGCAGATCGGGCAGAAAGGGCAGAAAGGGCATCTTTTTAGCCCTGTGTTTTTTTTCCCTGGGCGCGCGTGGAGATCTCGCGTGTAAGTCGTGCGCGTCGAGTCAGGAAACAAGCCACGATTAAATTCAACCAATGATTTATTTACAAACTAATTTCCTATGTACAAACATCCGTAAAAAGCTACGCAAAAAAAAAAAAATATTTACAACTAGAGGCGATCTTATATAAATATTTCGGAAAACTGTTTTGAGAGTAATACATATGCAAACTTGAGAAAATGAAAATTATTTACAAAATCAATTTTTTACAAAACTTGAACACTTTAAATTTCGAGTGGAGTGGTGCTAACTCCATCAGCCAAAACTTTACGTTTCGGGTAAAAATACGAAAAGGCATCCCTAACTTGCTCATAAGTGTACATAGTATTATTTACAACTCTGAACCCTCGATTCACCCCAGCACTATTTTGTTTTGTAAGTAAGACATTAAGGTATTTATCTTTGTTAATGTCATTGCATTTCTTATTGACACCCTTACAACTAAACTTATCTTTGGCCCCAAAACAGTAGTAGGTTTTTGAACACAACCCGATAATTCCTTGTCCCTCCCACTCAACCTTAAAAAGACCCGGGGTTCGCTTATCAAAGGCCTTATGCTCCGCAGTGTCGGTACGGGGAAACCAGTTACATTTATCAGCTTCGAACTCTGCTTTCAATTCTGGTTTGACCAAAGACTCAACACTATCCCCTGAAATGGCAATATACGCTGAATCCGTATCCATTTCACACATTTGGAAATCTGAGCGGTTTAGATATTTGTCTAAGAAATCATAATAAAACTGCAGCATGCGTAACTTAGCATACTGATACACAAAAAACCCGACTTGAATGGGTAGATTTAATTTAATGGATTTTTTTGCAAGACTCTACTTCATAAGTATCTTCAGTGATGTTTTCTAGTTTCCGGAAAAGGTGGGTGTTCACTTTTCGGCTGGCCTGAGCGTCACTGCAATACTCCACGTTTCTGTGTTTCAGTTGGTTGGTGATCGTCTTACCATAGCCTGAATTGCCCACCTGAGAGATAAACAAAGATATAAGTTTTTTCTATACGTGAAAATGTATATTGTTCCCACCCCTTTATGAATGAAAGAATGAAACAACAACAAAAAAAAAAACAAAAAAAAACTTACCAATTTCATGGTATCTGCAATGATGGCTTTACTGGGGTCCGCATCTCCGGCTCTCCTCGCGTCTGACACCGCATCCCCGAACGGTTTGAAGCAGGGTTGAGGGGTGAACTCGATCACTTGGGGCACTTTCGCGACCTCTAAACCATGTTCCAGGTACCACTTGAGGAGGGGTGTGGCCAGCAGGATCTTTTCTCCTTTCATGCTCCCAATCAAACTGCGACGGGGTTGAGCCATGATGTTGTGCTCCTCAGCGTACGCTTTCATAAATTCACCAATATTATCGCGGCTGATTTCTGTGTTCTTGAAGATCGGGCACATTTCACTAAACTTTTCCTTTAAGTGATCTGGTACACGAATATCTACTTCCACGCACCCGAACAAACGCTCATGTCGCACCTCGCTCAATATTCGCTCGGGACTCATGATCTTGACTTGATCCAGGGTTCTTCTCACTTCGGTGGCAATAAAACGCCGTAGTTCTCGGTTGGTTCTCTTCATTTCTCTCCACTGACATTCATACATTTCCACCACGTTGTACCCTTTGCTGCGGATATACTCCGTGTTGGCTCTCGTTTCTTCTCTGATCTCAGCCATAGGTTTCTTGCGTTTCTCGTTAAACTCTTTCCCTCGGTTGAGAGCACAGTCATGACCGTGCCAATAACAGCCGTGAAACTGGTACGCAGTTTGCGTCTGCGCGTTGAAACCATCTACAGGCAGTTTACGACCACCGATGCGCTTTTCTGTATTGTTTAACTGATGTCGGATGTGAATTCCCTCTTTGTGCGCCACCCATTCCAACCATTCAATAGCCAAGCGTACAGAACTTTTCGGTTCGAACTCATTGTCCGCCAGGCGTCTCGTATAACTTCCCGTGGGCATATCTTGCATGAGCGCCCAGAGGTACAAAGCGTTCGCGTCATACCCCACGATCTTCTCACACAGCTTAGCAGCCTCGCCTTCCTCTGCTTCTCTGATCTTTGTTTTGCCGGCTTCATGATATCGGTGGAAAATAATACTTGGGCCGCCCGTGTGGTTGTCTTTGATCAGATGGTAGAGATCACTGTTCGCTTGATCGAAGAGACTGAAGTAAGTTTGAGGTGATAGGTATGAGAAGAGGTACTTGAGGGTGAGACCAGGTACAGAAATGCCATCTTTAAACATATCGATCTTTCTCTCCTGCCAGAACTGACTCATTTTCTCTACAGCCTCGAGGAAAGGAACGACATCCAAATTATTGTACCAGATCAAGAACTCTTGAAAGGTGGACATTTCATTTTCTTCCCATACTTGCTGGCAGTACTCATATTCTTCTTCTGTAATGTTTTGGTTCTTCAGACTTGAGTAGAAAGCTTCATGCAAGGGCAGAGATGTTTCTTTGAGCTTGTCCAGGCTGTCGATCCACTCGTAAGGGAAGAAACCTTTGGTTTGCTCGCATTCATACGCTCGTAGAAACTGGTCATAGCTAAAACCCGGCGCGACATAGTTCGAAATGTCCAGAAATTTTAAGGAGTTTGTCTTGAGACACATATGGTTGCTGTTTCTTTTGACAGTGAACTTGATGGGTTGAGACTCAATGAGGTAGGGAAATACAAATTCTTTCACAGCGTTGAGATCGTACTTGCCAGAGTTGAAGCCTAGCACGGGCAGTTCTTGTAAGTATGCGTTCAGTTTTTCAGCTAGCTTTGTTAAGACTTTGTTGTCGCTAGTCTGCTCTTGACCAAACAACACATCTTCGTACTGGGCTAGCTCACCTCGCTGTTGTCTCCTCTCTTGTCTCCTCTCAGTATTCAACTCAACGTTCAGTCTTCTGTAAAAGGAAGGGTCGTTTTCTGTTACCTCATCATTGAGAAACGCGCGATCTTCCTCATTCTCCGGTTCTATTTCTTCCTCGTCGTCATCGTCATCACTTGCCATCAAATCGATATCTCTTTCGTTGTCACTTAATTCTTCATCATTATCTTCCCCTTCTTCACTTTCAGCTTGCTGACTACCCTCCTGGATATCAACAAGTATTTGCGCTAATCGGTCTTCTGTTGAGTCATCGCGGCTAGGTACTTGCTTCAGTGCTTCAAACACAGGTGCAAACTGTTCACGGAGAATAGAAGAACTTTTCAGGCTTATCTTGGTGAGGTACTGCATAAATTCTGTAATAAACACGTTTGGGTCGCCGTTAGACACAAAACATTTCGGTGCTTGGTAACCAGGCACGTTACTGCACACACTCACACTGAGGGGAACATGCGCCGATTCCCAGTTCAATTTTTCTGTGTTCTTCAGTTCTTGCGCTTTTTCCTTGTCAAAAAAGCACTCAAAATCAAACGTGGCGCGGTAAGGAAAATAGCGGGCTTCTTCTGGGACAATAATTCCTTCGTCTTCGAGCTCCTCAAAGATGGTTTTGGGTACATGGTACGCTCCGCCAGGATACTTGAGGTGGACTTTGCCGTCACAGGTCTTTTCGTGTCTATTCAGTCTGAAGCCTTTTTTCCAGTATTTACCACATCTTGAACAGCAGAAGGACTTTGAGTACCGGGCGAGATCTTTAATATACGAGAAATGGTTCTCATAGAGGTTGAGGTACAGAGTACAAGCGTAATGGCGGTGAGAGCGGCGAATGAGTGAAGCAGAGATGTCAGGTCTATGTTGTTCATTTTCTTCGTGTTCTTCGCAATGTGTTTGGGTTGGCGCGAGACTGTATACTTGAATGTTCACCTCGTATACTTTCTCTAACTGGTCTAGCTCAGACAACTTCACCCCATGGAACTTTTTCTTTGAGAGGCCAGCGTCTCGGTACTGTTGGTAATAGTGTTTCGTGTCCCGCTCCAAATTCTTGGTGTGACAGCCATTATGAAGTGCTAGGCAGCGGAAAAAACACAGATTATCTTCGTAGGGTTTACCTGTTTGGATGTTACGATCAAGCGGGGTGATGCCAATGTTATCCACGATATAACCGGGAAGATATTTTCCTCGTCCGATGGGATGATCGCGGATTTTCGTGATGAACCAAGTGATGTTTGTCACAAGATCAACCACCCATTTACTGTTAGGTCTTTGCTGTCGAACCCACTCCAAGTAGTCGATCTCCGCTATCTGCTGATATAGGCGCTCTAAGTCTTCGCGATTGGAGACCAGGAAAGGTTGTTCTAGCACCAGGTTGTTGTTGGCGGAAGGGTGGTGGTACTGTAAAGCCCCCGTTTCTGTGTTGCGGAGGATAAAACCAAAAGCGAAATTCACTTTAAAGACGGTCGTCTGATCTGCAAAGATGCGGCTGAGTTGTTCTCGGAGGCTTGATGGACTGATGGTGGACAGGCGGAAATTATACCAATCTTGTAGTCTGTTTTTGCGACTAAATCGGGTCCGGATTTGAGGCCAGTGTTGTCTGTACGTTTCTGATATATTCTGTTCTGTAGCAGGAACAAGGTTGGCGGGAATAAGCACGGGATCCGCTTCCCAACTGGAAGCAGCAGCAGATGCTTGAGTGGGAGTTGGTTGTTCTGACGCTGTTCTCGCACTTGCTTGGTCCGTCCTCTTAGATTTTTTAGCAGCAGGTGCGTCTGTGTTTTTAGCGGTGGATCGTTTCCTGTTAGTGGCAGCGGCGGGTTGTTGATGAGCGGTGCGAATATGAGCGTTGTAAGGGGCGCGGTTATGAAAGGTTTCGCCACAGGTTGCGCAAGTAAACGTCCGTTCGGCAGCTTGTTTGTCGTGCGCTTTCAGGTGACGATTAAGTACCGATTTGTCGGCAAACTTCTTATCACAGCGGTTGCATTCGTACGGTTTCACCCCAGTATGGGTTCGCTGGTGAGTAATTAGATGATTGGGGCGAGAGAAGGTCTTGTCGCAGGTGTCACAACGATATTCTTTACGAGGTTTTTTGGCTGGTGGAGGGTGACCATCCCCGAATTGAATTTTCTATAATTAGTAAATATGACCTGGTCTTAGTGTAAAGCTCAACTAACAAGAAACTCTGATAAACTCTATTTGTCTACAATGAGCGTCTCAACAACTGGGTAGATGGTTTGTTTTTGATGTTGAATCAACAGAATAAATTTAATTTTATGTGTCGATCCACGACATAATTGACTTTCAGAGATAAGCGCGCGGGTAATATTATAACTCTGCTATATTGCTATAATCAACTGCTTAGTGGAAATAGCTTAAATTGCTCTGATACCTGTTTGAGTATATATAATACGCTGTCTATTTTCTTCAACTCGGCTTGATGATTGAAGAATATTAGTACATTGAGCAAATGCCTTGTTTTGATTTTCAACAAAAGAATAGAATATATTTCAATATGGGTGCACTCATCCGCAAAAACGAATTCACTTTGGGAGAAGACAATATTTGATCAGTGAAGAGCGGAATCGATAACTGAGAATAAACTATTTACGCCTTCAAAATCATAAATAGTAAGCCAACTTTTATTTTCTTCTGACTCTTAAACGAAGGAATGAAGGATATTGTCTTTTGGGGTGAGCCTAAACAATTTCATTTTCAAAAAACTTTAATGGGAACGTTTGCATTCAGCGTATTCTAAACAAGTAAACATGAAAGATGACTTACGGTTTCCGACGGGTTCCAAGTGGGTAATTCACTGGTTTCGCCAGTCCACTGAAAATGAACAACAGAAATATACACATGAGTGATTGAACAATTAATAGTGCAAACTTAATTCCGTGAAAGAAAAATAATTTTATGATCATGAATGCTTACCTCATCAAAAAAATTATCCCGTGTATCTTGCGCTGATAACGGTGCCGACTCGTTGTTATTCTAGATAAGAAGAGAAGAAATCAGATTACTTTAGGTTTTGAAATCTCGCTCATTTTAAAGAAATAGGTGGGCATTGAACGAATAAGGAGATTCGTAATGTTGTTTCATCACTAAACAATTCATGTACGTTGCGTATTAAAAAGGAAATGGAGTTACCTTATCTAGCGCCATACGTTCCATCTCCTCGATTTCTCGAAGGTCAGCATTCGTAAACTGTACAGCAAGGAAACATATTCGATGAGTATTATACGACAACTGTCTACAAAAAGTTGAAGCAAATCGAGTTTGGAGTCCTTTTGTTTCTTAAACGAGGATAACAAAAGATACGCGATTTAGTTTAATAGATCAAATGCAAATCTAACCCAAATCGAGTCTATTAACATAACGAACATAAATGATGCGTGAACTTTTTACACTTCGTGACATAACATATTGAAAAACTTACCGAATCGCTCAGTAGATCGTTGACTTCATCACTACCCGTGTCCTGATTGATTTCAATCTGTGGAGAAGAACGTTAAGTAAAGATTAATATAAACTCGCTTCGGTAACGTACAGATTAAACGTAAACCGTCATCAGGAAAGAACTAAGAGACGAAATAGAATACTTACCGGTATCTCTTGGGCTGTGAGTTCCGACAGCCGAGCATACGCCATTGGGATCCACTCATCGCGTATCAAAATAGATTCCAGCAATAATTCCCAATCGTGGGTCGAGGAACAACCATCCAAGAGAGCTTGAAATTCGCGAACGTTGGTAATGAAAGCCATGATGTTCAAAAAGTAAATAAAGGTTTTCTCAAAACGAGCGAACTCGGACAAAAGTTCTCCTTAACAAAGCGATTGCAAGAATAAAATGCTGAACAAAGAGCGCGCTTCTATGTTGAACACATAATGAATTGTTTACTATCCAATCAGGGTTAAAAGAGCCCGGGCAAGTCTCGTCAAGCCTATTGTTCCTATTGTAGTAGAGTGACGCTCATTAGTAAACCTAATCCAAATCATTATGCAGGAAGACACTTCTTTCCGAGGTGACGTCATAGGCTTATGCATATCAATTAAGGGAAGGCATACGGAAGGCAAGGGAAGGCACCAACGAGGCTTATCTTCATCCCTGTATAACTACTGATAATTACTAATAAATACTAAAGACGAACCCTTTTGAATATCAAAATCAAGAGTGCCTCGATTCATACTGATTAAATCCTTCTTTGTTGCAATCGCCTAAAGCTTTCTTCGTGATCTTTCGTGGATAAAAAAACTGCTATGAGGTGAAATTGAAGTTCAAAAGCACTTCATTTTCTTTAGATAACGGCCGAACATCAAGATTGTACAGTTTTACCTTATTTCTAATCATAAAAACTTCATTCCAGATTATCTCGATAACGCTCTTACAGATTTCGCTTAAACTTCATGAACGTCTAGGCGGCTATCGGAAGAAAAAGCTCCCGTGAACAATTTAAGAAGAAGAGTTTCCAGTGCCGATAAATACGGTAGCAAGTAAATACGTAATTGCGTCATTTCGTTACCATGAGAACTCCGATGACATTGTAACCCTGATCAAAACAAATTCTCATCTTTATCTAATGCATCTTTGGTGGTAATTTTTCCAAATATTTGTTACTGGCGACGTAGTTTATACTGAAACTTGGGAAATGTTCACCCTGAAAAACCCAATCGAGCCACCTAATCTCGTATGACAAAAGGGAAAATTGTAAACAGTGACGTTAGCAAAGACTAGTGAATGGCACAAAAGGTCTTTATTTGTTTATATAGGGGAGCGGTTCAAGTGTTAGTAAGAACCACTGTTGTTTTTCTTTCGCATACAGGATTTTTATTGTTGCATACCAATTCATCCAGTGTCCACAATACACGTCTTGGGTAAGTCGGTATCATAGTTACTCTTTCTCATTTGAAACAGAGATCCGGATCCGAAGACTCAGTGGTGGTTGTTTGCTATTTAGATGGGAAAATCGATCGGACCAGGAATGGTAAATTTTGTCCCGGAATCTCGTTTACCATTTGTACAAATCAGTTCCATTTATCGAAAAAACGACCGCGAGGGAATGAAACTGATGGCTTTGTAGAAATGGAACACGAATTTCCGTTTGGAATATTTTGTCCGGAAAAACAGGAAAACCTTTTCAGATGTTCCGCTAGAACGACCAAAAAAGTCATGTTTCAACCGGGTTTTCCGGAAGCCTTTTTGTAACAACCATTGTGTAATAAGGCGGAGCTCTCGCGCGCAGCGGAGCAACACGAGTAAGAAAACTTGGTTATCATTGCATACGAGAAATTTTGGTAGTGACTAGTAGTCACGTGACCTTACGTCCGTCCGTTCGTCCGTACCACAGGCATACCCTGTTCCT